AAGGGCACAGAGGTGATGCGAAGTTCAAAAAAGGTTAGCGCTTCATTCCTCCCTAATTTTCTACCGGGTATAACGGTGTGCATATAATATAAACGGGCGCAGTGGCAAATGGCCTCGTATAGACCCCAAGCCACCAGGCAACAAATCCCGGTTGGTCGAACCTTAGCAGTCGTTGAATAAACGAATAAGAGGAACGGTGCTTCTGCCTCTACAATCACCTTACTGCTGATAAAGTTCTCCGCTGTTCATCCATCATACATCACTATCATGAAGCTGCCGGCGGGTATGTGACAAAAGGACCGCGAATCGCGTGCGACGTCGCGCCCGCAAATCAATGATGGTCCCAGGTAGTAGATGGCGACAACAGGCAATTCAGAACCGAAAATAGTCATGAATGTCTACGATGACGGGGTCTACATGAAGTCCGGTGCTCCAGTCGACAGATTCAACGAGTTAGGAAAACCTTACGTACGGTCACAAATAGACACAAGTGTCTACCATGTCCTTGTCTACATGAAATGCGATGCTCCAATCAAATCATGTGCAAATCAAGGAGCGCGCGACGAAGCGGCAATTTAGTATTCTCTTGCCGGTGTCCCCAGACGGCCACAGTCCCCGTGGACTACTCTGGCAAGGAAAAAGATTTCTAGGCAACCCTCATTGCCGCGCGCGACGGAGTGGCAATTTACGATTCTCTTGCCCGTCCTCCGCTGCCGGCACACCTCGCAGTTCTCCCCGGTGGTGCAATGGTTTCAAGATATCATTCAATGAAATGATAGGAATATGATTCATCATTCTTGTACATCTATCAATAACGCCGAAATCGACAAAAGCAGCTAAAATAGGGTCCGTAAGATCGGTCAGACAGTCACTTCTCCCTCTGAAGTTTCCGTGCTCCACGGCTAACATGCTAATGTTGCGGCGTGCGGCGCGGACAAAGCGAACGAGTTAAGCTCGCAAAGAGAGAAAACGACTGGGACAGAATTGTTGGGAGTTGGTTCCGCTTTAAAAAGGAAATTCGTATATATAAGAAGTGATTCTCGACGTGAGACTGGCTAGGAAAACTTTTTACCCTATGGAGGCCAAATATCTCTTTTATTTTACCGTACAAATCGTTGAACTAAACCTACTTCTTCACCAGATTATTTTTCTTTTTACTGTTCCTTTTGGTTGTTTTTGTCTAGAGCTTCTATCAATCCATCCAATGTGGTTAATAGTGAAGCGCATTTGATCGTTCTGACGTTGAATAACGCATGATTGTGCATGTACCTGGTGATTTTTCGAAACTTGAACTTTGGCATTATAGAGCTTCCTCATTGTCCCGATGGACGATGGGGATCACAGTAAACCGGCACTTCCGGTAGTGCCCGACAAGTGTGGACCACCGACGATCAGTTTGAACTATTTGCTCGATTTTGCTATCCAGCAAATCTATCATGAAATTACTGTCCTTTCCGAACTGTGAGTTTTTGCTCTTTATCGCTATATCGCTATCAATATCACGGTTTCCGTCACTTCAGTTTTTCATGCAATCAGAATTTAAGCGATGTATTGCGGTTTTTGAAGGCTTCCGAATGCATTGCTGTTCTTGTGCTATTCTTTATAATACTCCCTTGTTTGACAATTGCGGGGCAGGTCGCCGACTGGGGGTGGGAGGGGGAGTGGGGGGCATCTTGCACTTTTGCTACTTTCCATAGACGTGTCGACCCAGCTAGAGAGCGATTTAATGACACAAGACTTCACAGGTTTCACCTAAGGGCGACTTGTAAACCGGAACTTGTGAAGCAGCGGAAAGGCAAAATGCCCCCCCCCCTTCACCGAACTGTGCTCGATTTCCTATCATGCTATGTTCACATCTTACGATTGCTTCGCCGTAATCGACGTAACCGACATAATCTTCGAATTGATACCTATCTTATCTTCTCAGCGCATTCGACAATAATGTCGGTCGAACTACGTTTATACTTTGCAAGTGGCGAGATTCAGCGATTTGGGAAAGTCGGCTATTTGAGAAAATGCGCGCAGAAGGACTGCGGAATATCGATCGGCGCCAGTCGCCAGCGATTGCGGAGAATCGGCGATCCGTCGTTTTGGGCGACTCAGCGTCTCGAGCAATTGCGCGCCAAGGGGCTGGATGGATATTGATTGGCGCCAATCCAGCGATTACCGAAATTCGGCGGTACGGCATTTTGGGAGGTTGACAAATCCAGCATTCTGAGAGACCCAGCGATCCGGCGTTTTGGGAGATTGAGCGGTCTAGCGATTTGAGAGAATTAGCGTTTCGGGCGATGGCGCGCTCATGGGAGTGGATGAGTATGGAATTACGTCGGATCGCCGAAAAACAGTGCGAATGTACACGCAGTACTAATGAGGTTGCTTGATTGTGGGAACATGACTATCATATTCCGGAATTTAATTCATATTCTGCTGAAGTTTTCTATTTTTTCTTGTTTATGAATTCCCTTTTATTGATGTAGTGTGATGTCACGAATTCAGGTTGCCAAAGAAGTTAGATGGCGACAGGAAGATCAGTCTTGTGCAGTTCGCGCACTCTACGCGAATGCTGTTCGTCAAGCTGCTTGCCGTCGTCAAATGGGTGAAATCTTCGAAGAAATTCGAATCATGCGCGGTTAGTTGAGCGACTTCTTCTGTACACCATAAAAAACCCTTCAAGGCTTTTTAAAAAATCCTTTAGGCTATAAGGTTGTTTGGTTCAGGCAATATGCTACCTACTGGATCAGCAATCGCAGTACTTCGTAGAGACTGCGGATCGACTGGTAACGATTTCTCGCGAAGAGCTTGTAATGGCACGTTTGCCCGCCTTTCAAGTGACTGCTGCTGTCGATGTGCTCACACAGGTCTGTCCTTCACGCATCTGTTTATTCGAGTGCGTTCACACTTCGCAAGCGATTGAGTCGCGCGGCAAAGCACCTAAATGGTTCACGCGATCAAAGAGAACAAATCGCGATGCATGAACGCACTTTTATACCTTCATCATTCTAGACTACTACACTCCTCCTCTTGAAACCTCGCCATTGCTCGATATTTATCTGTTTCTATACTTCTGCCACGAGGTTTTCGAGTGGAAGTCTTGTTTTGGCTAACGTTTAGGCCCTTTCGTCGTGGTCGAAGGCCAACTTGGCTAAAAGCTTTTGAACTGCACACTGCTAAAAGCTTTGTCCCTTACGACATTTCTGAGAAGCGAAAAAACCAAAAGATGGGGTTGTGTGCAATTCTGGAGCTATGGGCCGTGATCAGGCTTCACAAACAGCGAAAAATTGGTCGATTCCAGTTGCTCACATGTCAACCCCATGGCAGAAACTTATCATGCTCTTTTATTTTTTATTTATTCGTCATTTTGTTCCTTTCTTCATAAAGATTTATCTACACTCATTGTATCTAGGGCACATACCAACATTTACCCACGATCATCAAGGATCGTTTTGTGCTAAAGCCAAAAATCTCCGCTATTGATGAGGCAAACGTGTTGTTACGGCTCAATCAGGTAAGCTACTGTAGCTGGAAGCAATAGCACTGATATTATTTTGTTATCTCACTCTTTCTTGGATTTTCTGAATATTTTACCGGTTTTTTCGCTTTCAGGTTCTACAGTATCGCATATCAAAAGCCGCATCCACGTTATCGCCTCGTGCCAAGGGTATTGTTATAAAGAATGGCATGGTATGTGCCGTTCAGTTAATTTTTATAATTCAAAGTGTAACTTATTGAGGGCTTTTCATGCGCCTTGCTTTTCTTTTCTTCTCATGCCTTTTGCCTTGCTTGTTGATATATCTTCTGAGCAAAAAAAAGGCTGAAAGGTACCCTTCACACAAGCTGGGACTACTGACATGGATGGGGATTTTTGTTCAAGCTGCTTAGAGGGGAAGGGGCACCTGTGTGTGAAATCACTCTGCAGCACGCTAACCTCAGTTTTTAATGTTCCCAGAAAGCCTTCCCCATCTTTTGTTGTTCAAGTGCTTCT